ACCCTTGTTACAGGTGCAGGGTGTCATTGAGTCAATGGTGATGGTCAGGTAGAGCTGGGCAATGCTGACACTGGACAGCTTGACTTTTTTGAGGGGTTGAAGTCCTGTAAGGAAAGCTGATTCATGATTTGGTTAGAGATTCTTTGAATCTGGTTTTGAATGTATCTAATGATGCAGGGGGCAAGCCTTAGTAAAAGGCCTATGACAAGGAGAGAAGACAGGAAAGAAGTGCTCACTGGAGAAGGGGGTTACTTAGCTGCCATCCTTCAGTTCCAATGGCAGTGGGAAGCTTGGAAGCCTGAAGGAGATCAGAGATAAAGGGAAATTAGTAATTTAAGTTCCCTTGGTGGTAAGGAATCTGTGCTCCTTTCAAATAGAAATATGGGAGAGAAATATGTGGAAAGTGGACATAGAGTAAATGTAGACAATGAGGCAGTCTCCCTTTGCCCAAGTGAAGGCTCTGATGAGGACAACAACTTCAGCCTGCTGATTGGATGTATTATTGGGGAGGGAAGCTGCTTCCACAACCAACCAAGATTAGAGAGACTATAGCACACCTTGCCCAATGAACTCCCTCCTGAAGGAAGGAGAAGCCATCTGTGAACCTTGTGTATGTTGCCTGGAGCAAGGGGCCTTCCTATATGTTGGAGAAATGTGTAAGAAACTCCTCCAGAATTTCAATGCATGAATGTGTAAGAGGAGAAGAGGTGGAAGAGTCCTGAGTAGTGGGAAAGAGAACAGCAGAGTTTAAAGGTGAACACGTGTGGAAAGTAAGACTGGGATCTTCCACTAGGGAAAACTGTAGAGATAAAAGACAATGGGGGTGAGGAATGTAAGCCCTTGTAGGTGAGAAGTTCCTTTAGGTGATGAGAAACCAGGATGATGAGTGGGGCCTCAAAGGTGAGTTTCTTTAACTTGTTAATGAGTAGAGAGGCTGTGGCCAACATTTGTAGGCAAGGGTAAAGTTAAACATTTTTTTCCCCTTAGACCTCCTATTGAGCCTACTGAGTCTTTTCTTTGTATTTCAATGTTAGCTTCAGTGTGGCCTTGGCCAGGGATATTTTGCCTAGGACTTTACCATGTAGGTGAATTCTAGGTTCTTTGTTTGTCTAGAAATAGGGTCTCTGGAGGAATTTAGAGTTTTAGTGGCAGGTAGAAGCTGAGGATGGAAGCAAGAGGAGCAAAGGAAGGCTTTGAATGGAGGAAGGAGAAATCCTGAAGAAAAGGAATTTTCTTCCATTTTTCTGAGCGCTAGCATAAGTTATGAAGATTGGAAGGTTGAATTGGTCAATGGACCTTTAGATCAGGAGCCAAATGGAGTGGGGCTAAGTGGGCAAGAAAGTAGCCATGAATCAGGTGGGATTTGAGAGTTCCCCATTGTTGGGTGTGTGTGGGAGGCTCTTTGCTAAAGTTAAGTTTCCTTCTAGGAAAATATAACAGAATCCCTTACTCCTCCCATTCCTCTCTGAAAGGCTCCAAGCCAAAGAGCATGACAAATTCAATGGTTTTTTCAACCAATCCCCTCAAGATTCAGTATCTGGGACAGAGAGAGGAAGTCACATGCTACATACAGGCTTTGCCTACATAGAGTTTTGGTTGCCTGGCCAGGGCTTTCTTGAGCTCTGCTGAGCAGCTAAAAACCAAGACCAAAGAGTGAACTAGCCAAGGGGAAGGTGAAAGGCAAGTGACTCATCTGAGATTCAACAAAGAGATTTTATTGGGGGGCTGCGTGAAGGGGAAGAAAAGGAGAGATAGAGAGCATAGAGAAGAGAGGAGGAGGGCAGAGAGAAAGAGAGTAGAGGAAGAGAGCTAAGAGAAACAGAAAGAGAGTAGAGAGAGAATAGAAGGAAGAGGAAGAGAGCAGAGTTTGAGGGCAGAGTGTGAGCTTGCAATCTTCAGCTTAAGAAGATTGCATAGGTGGTGTGGCAGGCACGGATTGGCAGGGTGACCAAGGAAAAGCAAGTGTTCACTGTGTCCTGTGGGGAGTGGTCAAGAAAACTTTTAAATTTGGCACTCTTGGTGCCCTTCAGAGAGGAGAGGGAGTAGTAAGGGATTCCGTGATGTTCTCACATGATGGAAATGTCAGCAGGAAGTCTCCCACACACCCAACAGAAGGAATGGGCGAAAACCTTGGTGCTGGGCCAAGAGCTAAGTTCTAGAGAGGAGAGTTATAACCAAATGAGGTTGAGTGTGAAAAATAGTGTTAGGTGAATGGAAGAAGGGTAATTATCCTGGGCCCTGAAGACAGAATCTCAAAGCAGTTCATATCCCTAGAGGGGAGAGCAAGACTGATGGGAGAACATGATCAAGGATGCTCTACAAAATGTTTTGAGATGAATGTGAATGGGCTCATGGTGTGAAGCAATACAAGAACTTGAAACATCCCAGATAAGTAGGGACCACCTCAGAAGTGGGTAATGGGAAGTCACTGGCAGACAGAATATGGGATGGTCCTAAGGTAAGGGTGAGTATCAGGGGAGCTACAGGCAAGTCTGGATGGAAGTATATATGAGGGGAGAATGAAAGCATAGCATTCAACTTTGTGAGGATGTCCCTACCCATAAGGGGAACAGGTACTGTGGAATGACCAAAAGGCATGGGTGAAAATTAGAGAGCCAAAGGCATAAACAAAGCTAGATGTTAACAAGGGCTGGATGGCTGGGGGCCTCAATGGACTTGGGGACAGTCAATGGTGCAGTGTCCCTTCTGATGGCATTTAGGACAAGGTCCTGGAGGCTTCCAAGGCTTAGGACATGTACGAG